CTGATTTGGATTTGCGTTATTTTCAATTTGAAAAAATTATTTTTGACAGTTTTGTTTAAACTGCTGTATTTTTTAAAGTGTGCGACTTAAAGCGAAACGAAATTCAGTTCACACATCTATAAACGATTCTTAATAAGACTGCTGATTTGGATTTGCGTTATTTTAATTTGAAAAAATTCATTTTTGACAGTTTTGTTTAAACTGCTGTATTTTTAAAGTGTGCGATTTAAAGCAAACGAAATTCATTTCACACATCTATAAACGATTCTTAATAAGACTGCTGATTTGGATTTGCGTTATTTTGAAAAAATTCATTTTTGACAGTTTTGTTTAAACTGCTGTATTTTTTAAAGTGTGCGACTTAAAGCGAAACGAAATTCAGTTTACACAACTATAAACGATTCTTAATAAGACTGCTGATTTGGATTTGCGTTATTTTCAATTTGGGGAAAAACTTGAACTTATGATTTTTCCACTTACGATGCGAGCGATCGACGTACTATCATTTTCGGTATTAAAAAAATTAATTCATTATAGTCAGCTGTCAGATTCACATTAATATATATTAAAAACACATTTTCAAATGCGTTCAAAGTCTTTAAGCGAAGATAGATCGATTTCGATGTGCAAGCGAAAAATTTAAAAAGTGACAAGATTTAAGATATGTGAAATATACATGTTCAGTCGTGTTTAGAATCGTTTCTTGTGGTTCGGGACATTCGCCTTCGAATGTTACATCGATGTAGAAAGCAGAATTTAAAAATCTTGAAATTTGAAAAAATTTATTTTCGACAGTTTTGTTTAAACTGCTGTAATTTTTAGAGTGTGCGACTTAAAGCGAAACGAAATTTAGTTCACACATCTATAAACGATTCTTAATAAGACAGCTGATTTGGATTTGCGTTATTTTCAATTTGAAAAAATTCATTTTTGACAGTTTTGTTTAAACTGCTGTATTTTTTAAAGTGTGCGACTTAAAGCGAAACGAAATTCAGTTCACACAATCTATAAACGATTCTTAATAAGACTGCTGATTTGGATTTGCGTTATTTTTAATTTGAAAAAATTCATTTTTGACAGTTTTGTTTAAACTGCTGTATTTTTTAAAGTGTGCGACTTAAAGCGAAACGAAATTCAGTTCACACATCTATAAACGATTTTTAATAAGACTGCTGATTTGGATTTGCGTTATTTTCAATTTGAAAAAATTCATTTTTGATCGTTTTGTTTAAACTGCTGTATTTTTTAAAGTGTGCGACTTAAAGCGAAACGAAATTCATTTCACACAACTATAAACGATTCTTAATAAGACTGCTGATTTGGATTTGCGTTATTTTCAATTTGAAAAAATTCATTTTTGATCAGTTTTGTTTAAACTGCTGTATTTTTAAAGTGTGCGATTTAAAGCAAAACGAAATTCATTTCACACAACTATAAACGATTCTTAATAAGACTGCTGATTTGGATTTGCGTTATTTTCAATTTGAAAAAATTCATTTTTGACAGTTTTGTTTAAACTGCTGTATTTTTTAAAGTGTGCGACTTAAAGCGAAACGAAATTCAGTTCACACATCTATAAACGATTTTAATAAGACTGCTGATTTGGATTTGCGTTATTTTTAATTTGAAAAAATTCATTTTTGATCGTTTTGTTTAAACTGCTCTATTTTTAAAAGTGTGCGATTTAAAGCAAAACGAAATTCATTTCACACAACTATAAACGATTCTTAATAAGACTGCTGATTTGGATTTGCGTTATTTTCAATTTGAAAAAATTCATTTTTGACAGTTTTGTTTAAACTGCTGTATTTTTTAAAGTGTGCGACTTAAAGCAAAACGAAATTCATTTTACACAACTATAAACGATTCTTAATAAGACTGCTGATTTGGATTTGCGTTATTTTCAATTTGAAAAAATTCATTTTTGACAGTTTTGTTTAAACTGCTGTATTTTTTAAAGTGTGCGACTTAAAGCGAAACAAAATTCAGTTTACACATCTATAAACATTTCTTAATAAGACTGCTGATTTGGATTTGCGTTATTTTCAATTTGGGGAAAAACTTGAACTTATGATTTTTTTACTTATGACGCGAGCAATTAACGTACTATCATTTTCGGTATTAAAAAAATTAATTCATTATAGTCAGTTGTCAGATTCACATTAATATATATTAAAAACACATTTTCAAATGCGTTCAAAGTCTTTAAGCGAAGATAGATCGATTTCGATGTGCAAGCGAAAAATTTAAAAAGTGACAAGATTTAAGATATGTGAAATATACATGTTCAGTCGTGTTTAGAATCGTTTCTTGTGGTTCGGGACATTCGCCGTCGAATATTACATCGATGTAGAAAGCAGAATTTAAAAATCTTGAAATTTGAAAAAATTCATTTTCGACAGTTTTGTTTAAACTGCTGTAATTTTTAGAGTGTGCGACTTAAAGCGAAACGAAATTTAGTTCACACATCTATAAACGATTCTTAATAAGACAGCTGATTTGGATTTGCGTTATTTTTAATTTGAATAAATTCATTTCTTAAAGTTTTGTTTAAACTGCTGTATGTTTTAAAGTGTGCGACTTAAAGCGAAACGAAATTCAGTTCACACAACTATAAACGATTTTTAATAAGATTGCTGATTTGAATTTGCGTTATTTTTAATTTGGGGAAAAACTTGAATTTTTGATTTTTCGACTGACGACGCGAGCGATCGACGTACTATCATTTTCGGTATTAAAAAAATTATTTCCTTATAATCAGCTGTCAGATTCACATTAATATATATTAAAAACACATTTTCATGTGCGTTCAAAGTCTTTAAGCGAAGATCGATCGATTTCGATGTGCAAGCGAAAAATTTAAAAAGTGACAAGCTTTAAGATATGTCAAATATACATGCTCAATCGTGTTTAGAATCGTTTGTTGTGGTTCGGGACATTCGCCTGCGAATGTTCCATCGATGTGCAAAGCAGATTTTAAAAATCTTGAAATTTGAAAAAATTTATCTTTGACAGTTTTGTTTAAACTGCTGTATTTTTTAAAGTGTGCGACTTAAAGCGAAACGAAATTCGCTTCACACATATATAAACGATTCTTAATAAGACTGCTGATTTGGATTTGCGTTATTTTTAGTTTGGGGAAAAACTTGAACTATTGATTTTTCGACTGACGACGCGAGCGATCGACGTATTATCATTTTCGGTATTAAAAAAATTATTTCTTATAATCAGCTGTCAGATTCACATTAATATATATTAAAAACACATTTTTAAGTGCGTTCAAAGTCTTTAAGCGAAGATAGATCGATTTCGATGTGCAAGCGAAAAATTTAAAAAGTGACAAGCTTCAAGATATGTCAAATATACATGCTCAATCGTGTTTAGAATCGTTTCTTGTTGTTCGGGAAATTCGCCTGCGAATGTTACATCGATGTGCAAAGCAGAATTAAAAAATCTTGAAATTTAAAAAAATTCATTTTTGACAGTTTTGTTTAAATTGCTGTATTTTTTAAAGTGTACGACTACCAGCGAAACGAAATTCACTTCACACATCTATAAACGATTCTTAATAAGTCTGCTGATTTGGATTTGCGTTATTTTCAATTTGGGGAAAAACTTGAACTTTTGATTTTTCGACTGACGATAACGTTTTAATTGTTCACAATCAAATAACGAAAGTTTACATTCTGAATTTGGCAATGCATATGCTTGTTTCTCGAGTAAAATGCTTGCAGAATTTTATAATTTATATGATGATTAGATACCCAATTTTATGTATTATATTAGTCGATTGCTTTATTTTAGGATTATTTTTTAAATACTAAATATTTCCCTTGTTTAATATGTTGATATTATTAGGATAAATGTGCAGAACAAATATGTTATTCTATTTTTCTTTTGTTTATTCTTTGTTTATAAAGCTGTGTAAAGGAGAATTCTAATTGTAAATAAAAGAAAACTAATTTATTAGAGCAATTGTAGAAAATAGAAAATGATTATTAATAATATATTAATTATTGCTTATATGAGTTAAACATTTGATCTATATAATTCATTATTAGGCATATTAAGCTTTATATTTTAATCATTATCGATTTTTTCTATTTACTAAAATTCCTTTATTTCAAATAATTTTTTTTTTTTTTTTTTTTTTTATTAACAGTTAGAATTTCTTTTGCACAGCTTTATAAACAAAAGATAGACAAAAGAAAAACAGAATTTATATATTATTAATAATATATTATTTATTGTTTATATAGGCAATAAATAATATATATAATAATATATACATATAATACTTATTTTTTGCACCGTTGTGGGCTATCGCGACAGGGAAGCGTTATTTTTATTTTAATTTGCCGAAATTTTATTATGTACATAATTTTAATTTGCCGAATTTCCGTAATGCATATAATTTTAATTCACCGAATTTTATTATGTACAAAATTTTAATTTTCTTATTTTTGTTATGTACACAATTTTTATTCGTGAATTTCTATTATGTTCATAATTTTAATTTGTCGAATTTATATTATGTACATAATTTTTATTTTAAAATTATTATTACGTACATAATTTTAATTTCCAAATTTCTAATATTATGGACATAATTTTAATTCATTGAATTTCTAATTTCTATTAAGTCCATAATTTTAATTCACCGTATTTCTTTTATCTAAATAATTTTAATTTGCTCAATTTCTATTATGTATATAATTTTAATTTGTCGTATTTTTTCTATGTAAATAATTTTAATTCTTGAATTTCTATTATGTTTTAAATTTTTATTCGCCGAATTTTTACTATGTACAGTACATAAGTATTCTTGAATTTCTATAATGCGTTATAATTTAATAATTTGTTTGGCGCGCGCAAAGCGCACGCTTGTATTATAAATTTGTAAAAAAATGTTAATTTGTTTAAAGTTTACGTTTGCTGCTAATTTATATGCATAATGTTGTTTAATTCCAGCGCCTTTAATTACAGAATCTATGAAAAATTTATTCATCCGCGATGTTCTTCCATGCCAGCTGCGTCTTGATCTCTTGGAGATGACTCAGCTTCATGAGAAGAGAGACGCTGATTACTCTTCATCCTGCTGGATTCTCGAGCTCGTCGGTATGGCATTGACTCCATGTATTCGACTACCTTCGAAGAAAGAAAGAAAGAGAAAAGGAATACAAGGTTAGCGTATCGCAAAGTTCGTTTCACCGGAGTAATTAAAGTTTCCTGCATTTCAGCCGCAAAATCGACGTTGCGTAGCATGCGGCCTGCTTTTCGATCGATAATACTTTTATCGAACAAGGAGAAATAAAAATCAATGTCCTTTTACTAAATGAATTAGGGTCAGTACCGGACAGCTTGTACGGAGCATATGACCTAAGATCGCATTAAAGATGTCTGGAGCTGATATAGAAATCGTTAATAATAGAGACGCACGTTGTCTAAATAAAAGATCAATTAATTAAATGAAATAATTGGCCTGAATATATTTTAAGAAGTTAAAAATATTTCTAATGACACCCTAGATTCGCGAACCAGATATCTTAATTAAACAGAATAAATATTTAATTATTTATGGCTAAACTATAAATATTATTTGAAATAAAATAAAATTTATAAATAATAAAATAATAATAAATTTTTAATTCTACAAATTAGAAAAAATGTGAAAATAAAAAATAAAAAACATAAATTGCAACATAATTTATGACAACACAATTGCTGTCAAGTATAAATCGTATACAGACGAAATAAGATCAATATAAAAAAATTTATTGAAGCACAATCAATTGCACGTCGAAATATGAGAGATGAAGTACAAACTTCACGATGATGAGCCGTGAAGGTTTTGTGGAACAGTTTGATAATTAATTACACGCTCCAACGGCATAAATCTCTTTCTGTCTAGGTATACATTAAGCGTATCGTTTTATATGAAGTGTTTTGCACGATCAATGTGCTCCGTAATGAATGCGGTCGACATAATGAATTAATGATACACAACACTCATGACTGATCATTGAACATGCTTCGTTTTCTAGCAAATGTAACAGGCATTGATTTAATTTTAATGAATATTATTGCTGCAATTCAAACAATTAAATAGAGAAATATTGTTTCTATTTTTTTAAAGATGACACATCTTGCATTTATGAATATTTATACCGAAAGCGGTCTGTTTCTGATAATTTGAGAGTCATATTAATTATATGCATATATTAAACTTATAAAATAATATTTTAAATAATTATTTCAAAAAACATTTAACACACGCAGATTATTATATTATATACATTTTAAAAGATTTAAAAAATATGTAAATAACCTTATTGTTATAATCGAGGTAGCCTGTTAAAATCTCATATGCGATTACACCACTAATGCTAAGAAGAAATATTCGTTGTAATAAAATCTTGCTGAAGAACCATTTAAATTTAACCATGATGTATCTGAAATTTAATCATATAATTAAAATTAAATATTAAAGAGCAGCTGATCGAAAGAAGAATTAATGAATGTCTTACTCAGTTTGACTAGACAGTTTGTATATCCACTTAAAAACTATTTATTAAGCAAATACATCTTGCAAAAAGATAAATACTAAATATTTTTGTGTATTGTGAGCGAGTATAAACATTAAAAAATTTCTCGAAATTGGGGTTCTCGAATTGCATCCTGCTATGAAGTTTGATTCATAGCATATATATATTTACGCTACAATTTGATTTGATAAGAGTTAGATGACTAATTTCATATTGAACAAAAAAAGGAGAATTAATTATTTAATAAATAGATAACGAAGTAAGAGAATAAGAATATTAAAATAATTGATTTGATTTTTAAATTTGTTTGTAAAATAAAACATTTATATTGCATTATAAATATTAATAATAGTGCTATTTTAAGTCAATAAAAAAAATTTTTTTTTATTTTGATATGCAGAAAAAAATCATTTCACTTATTATAAATATTTAAAAAATTGTTTCAAAAATATATAATATAAACACACACAAGCACGTATATAGAACATATATGCATGTATATATTTTATATTTATTTTTCAAAAATGTGTATTATTTGTAATAAGACTTTATATATAATTTCTATATAATTTTTAACTTATATATAACTACTCGCGAGAAAGTTGCAAAATTTTCGTTAATAAGTCACAATATAATAGTGTAATAATATAATATATTACATATAATAACATTTTTCTTTTCAATTTCCAGCAAACATCAATGTATATACGAAAACATATTTAAATTCAAAGCATATTGCGCGCCATCACATGAATCCTCGCTTATGCAAGCGGACTTCGAGTCATATTCAAGACTAAAAATATCGCAATCCATACCGCAATACTTCCAAGCAAACTAAATTTTCAAATAATAATCTCTTCTAAAGAAAAAATTTTGTGTACGTCCTGCGACTTGAATTTCTCCGGCTATTATTTCAGGTCCAGCGTTTCGTCGCAATTGACATTTCCGGCGGCGGAATCGGCGCGAAAATACAAACAACGATAGCGACACGACGATTCTGGTTCTGGTTGCCGCCAGGTATCGCCACCGACAACAACAATGGCGTCCGGTCGATAGTCGACGGACGGAAGGAGGCGCTCTCTCGACTCTCGGCCTCGGCGAAGGTCGGAGACACACACAGTCTAGGCGAGAGACGGGGTTCTTCCTTCGCGTAAGAGAGAGACGAAATCGAGTCGCGTCCGGGAAGTGCGCGCGGTAACGAGAAAATATGTCGCGTTCGATCGCGCGACGACGACGACGGGCCGCGTAATCGATCGATCGCGCGCGTCGGCACGTTTTCGCGCGAACGGCAGCGTGTCCGAACATGCGTCCGGCGCGGGACGACCGAGGGTACCGAGCGACAACCGAGGAGGCTCCTTCGAGGAACTGTCAGGGGGACCGTCGCCACCACCATCGCCGCCGACGCCGCCACCACCGCCGTTCCGCGTGAGTCAGTGCGAGCTCGGACGGAGGCGACGCGCACGCAAAATGGCTTCGGGCGACAATGTGGACATGATCGAGGTGGTCGAGAGCTCGACGAGCTTCCCCGGATCGGCGACGCAGCCCGCGATGGATCACCTCAGGCCGGACCAGTCCACCGCCGAGGAAGACTGTGAGTGCGAGAGTCCACGTCTCTCCTTCTTCTCTTGTCTTTTCTCTCTCTCTCTTTCTCTCTCTTTCTCCCTCCTTCCTTCTCTTCCCTCTGTCATTCCAGCGCCGTGACCCTAACCTATAACAGGCGCGATCACAGATGTGTCGCGACCTCGACGATGATTTCTTCGTTGGAAAATTCAATGGACTATATCCTCGTCGTGTTTATCGATTCGCGAATCGTATCTTTATGTGTGACACCAAGCGAGCGTGGCCGATCGAAGATCGCGGCTAATCCGCTGTCTCGCGATCTGACAGCTAATGGGTGTCACCCGACCTAGAAAGCGCATACACGTTGGAATCCGTGTCGTCTGGCGAGGAACGCTGGGGGGTCTCGGTGTTGAAACTTACGACGCTTGTAAAGCGGAGTAATTCTCCCTCTGCTCCGATTTGCGAAGCGATCGATCGACTTTTGACAGTTTTCCTATTATCGCGATATAATCTGTAAGAACCTCCAGACAGAGGAGATTTAAATGCATTTTAATTCGTAAGATGGAAAATTCATCGTGTGTAAATGGACACGTCTTGGAGTCGCGATTTGACAGCTGATAATTATCGATTATAAATCTACTTTCGCGCATAGTGTGGCTTCCGAAAAATTTCAGAGGCTACCTAATTAGGTATTCACTGTGTTAAAGTTCGCACTGTTAAAAGAGTCTTATAACTTATGACACACAAAAAAATGAACGACGTAACTGAGAATGATTGTCATTGAAACGATTTGTCATTGAAATGTAAATTACTTTTTAATATATATATACACACACACACACTAATATATATATATATATATATATTATCACTACACAGCATACACATATAGACATAAGGAATGGAATACATTCTTCGTTTGTTCTAAAAAGTGTGTCCTTGGAACAAAATATATTCTGCACATAATATACTTTCTTCTCGTACAGTTCTGCATTTTTGCACGTGGTTACGAAAATCTATATTTTATTCAAAAATTGTAACTTTCCAAAAAGAAACTCAATTCTGCTTTATCAAAATTTTAAGTACTTATTAATTAATTGATTAATTATAAAATAGTTAGAATAGTTATAAGGGACAGTTTTTCAAAAGTTTTTGTTAGCCCGAAGCAAGATTATTTCAAGATTCTTTAATGAATATTCCTTTAACATTTTATATAGATAACCAAATTCACGAATGTGTTCACAAAATTTAAATATGAGTCAGAGAGTCATATGGGGATTAACAAGGACAAGCTTGAATTTCAAAGTTATCCGAACAATGGCGAGCATTCATTTCGTTTTCGCGTTTTTCACATAGTGAATTTCGTACAAACATTGATTTCACTGCACATTTAATCTACACGTGACGATGAAACAATAATGACGCGTAGTGTGACTCGACGCATTGCGATTTGTTTGCCGCTACTCCACAACTTGACAACTCGCGCCATTTGACAGCTGATAGGTATCGGAGTAGGGGAGGGGGGAGGCAGAATAGCACGTGGAAACTTGGGTTCTGAAATTCGCGTGGGCTCCGGCGTGATCGTGATATCAAGATAACGCCGTCGTTATCGGATCTATGACGCGAACTGACGTGTCTTCTCCATCCTTTTCTCTCTTATAAAAATTGACTTTTTTTATTATAGAAAATAACTGATATATAAAGGAAAGTAGAGCGCGCGATGGAATGCGAGTCTGTGTATCCGGAATGTTCCTTTTGTTCGAAAGATAGCGGCTTCCGTCTCTTGTCGAGCGAAAGCTTTTTTACCGTTTAGAAAACCTTACCATGCTATTATTCCGCATTTATTTTGTACATGTCATATTTTTGTGAATATGAAATTAGCTTACAATTTAGACCATATTTATTATGATCTCTCTATTTGTATGCAGAAAATTATGTCAATCTTGCATTTTTTATTCTTGAACATTTTCAAATTATAAAACGCTCTCTATTGCATATTCAACAATTTTAACTCTTTTACATTTTCTTCTAGTCATTTTAATACGAATAAATGTAATTCTAAATAGCATATATGTTAAAATTTTTTGTTCTTTATACTCTTGAGCGTTACACAGTAGTTACAATATTATTTAAAACGTCTTATTTTTTTCTCTGAGGTTTTAATGAAGATGAGAAATTATGAATAAAAGATTACCTCACTGAAGAATGTTTTAATTGATTCAAGGATACAAGTCTGTGAATAAATGTTATTTACGTAACACAATTTATTTTGCTTGGCTAAGATAATTTCACATGTTTTTCGAGCCATGTGTACAAAACATGGTTGTTTATAGACTCTTCTAGATAGATGTATTAAATCTATATTACGCATAATATTTTCAAAAGTTCATTAACGATGTTTCGATAATGATGCTTTCATTGGCATATCCCTTCGTGTGTTTTCATTGTTGGAATAACATTTCTCAACCGGACAGAGAGCGCCGCACGCGTTCGAGTCAAGTAATGGAAGATGAGAGTTAAAAATAGAAGGCTAACAAAGTAAGGGCATCTTAACTCGCCTTGCTCCCTTACTCTACCGGCTGTCATCCTCGGGACCCTTTTTTCACTCGATATCGCGAATCGCGCCATTTCCCTACACGTGTCGGTTTTTTTTTTTTTTTTACAATATTAGACTCGATTACTGCTCGCGATAATCCGGCGTATAATTCATTATTTCAAGATTTATCCGAGATAAATTTTATTTGCGATAATTCTGTAATAAAAGTCGTTATGCATATGTAAATTGCAATTTGGCTTTTCGGTTTTAAATTTAACTAATATGGTACGTTATATATAATTCTTTGTTACGAAAAATTAGTATTGAATAATTATTCTCCGTACACATGTTGCACTTGATGACAAATTATAAATTATAAATAATGGTAAGAGTACACTTTCGAGCTATATAATATTTTTGAGAGAAATCAGATGCATCGTGTATGCATATTTGTGTATCATGTCTATCGGTTCCAAGACGAATTTTTGTAACAAACAGTTTGACGGCTGTCTAAGCCATTAAGATTAAATACAAGGTCAACAAAACTATATATTTTTACCTTTGTCCGGCGATAACATTGTCGATTTTTCTTAGAATCAATAGTTATGATGTGTTCCAACTAAATCAAAACTTAAACATTTTATATTGACATCTTCTATAAAAGTGTCTGTTTTCTACGAAGTTATGTAATAGATAATGCATAATTGCGTAATGCAGATACAGATAATATTATTAATAAAACGGTAGAAATGCAGATAATGTAGTAAATGTAAAGAATTAAATAATTACATTTAGTTGTAGTACTAAAATATATATATAGACCATGGAATCGATTATTAAAATTTTCCGTCGTCAAAGGTTTAATCAACTTACACGTGTTGCACTGTGAAAAGGGCAATCTCAGTTTAATAAATTGATCGTATAAAAAAGCCATTGAGTCTCGCGCATGTGTGTATATATATAAAATATATATTTATAGTATCTGACGTTCGTGTTTCTGGAGCACATCTTAAAAAACTTTGCTGACTTTATCGATTATATGGCCCCTTAAATTTCATTTTACATTAATATTGCATGTATTTTAAAAAATCTATACAACATCTATATTTGTATATATATATATGATATATTTTTTTTAAAATTTTTATTTATTATAATTATTACGAAACAATGAATTTTTAAATTATATTATGCTGCGATGTTTATATAGCTATACTTAGTTCAGTTTTGTTTATGAAAAATTTTTATATTTAATGAGTACTTGAATTTTACATAATTTTCAAAGTGTAAAATTGTCATTTAATAATACTTATATATTTCTATAATTTATTTATTATATAATTATTATACGATCGAATATATCTTATTATTTTTGATTTTGTTTTGAGATAAATGGCACTTGATTATTCTATGAAGAATTTTACGTTTCATGACATTTTATTTTCTGCTGCTGTATTGCATTATCTAGTACATGCATTATTAGTTAATCAAAATGTTATACATACATTGTACTATGCGCGACGTAATTAAAATGTCTTTTTTACAGATAAATCGATTGGAGAAAAAACAACAGCATTTGACGTAAGTCTTAATCTTTCTTTAACTAACAACTAACCAATTGTTATAACTACAATACTTTTCAAAAAGATACATTCATTCTGTTAAAGGGTAAATTAATTTCTCTTAAATATTTAATTAACAACAACACCTGTTTAAATAATTATTAGTAGTTAATGCAGTTACATAAATGATAATTACTGATATTAATAATTCAAGCAATAAAGCGTAATTAGCCTGAATTCTTTTTACAGAAATACCCTTTCATGCTATTATCGATTTTAGTTTTATGCCATATATTGCTTGCATATTCATTATGTTCTTCTTAAGTAGCTCATATGTACGCGTCTGTATTATACTGCATTATATATATGTTCTTGTCTAGTTTTCACTTTACACAATTCGAAAAGAAAGCACTAATAAAAAAATTGCTCCAATTTATAATGTGCGCTGCATCGCATTATCTTTTACTTCTTTCCCATTAACTTGCTCCACTTTTGCACAGATCTACTGTTCATATAATATTTATCGCGATCGCATATGCTACCATCTACGTGATTCGTGTTCTCATTTATACCATAAGCACCATTTGTACGAGCGCGAACATTATATTAGATAAAATTAAATTGAAAAATTTTAAATCTAAAACCTCGTAAATAAAGAATAGAAATGTAACGAACAAACTGTAGATTATTTAGAAAAATATCTCTTGAATTATTGAGCAATAAATCAATATAGATTACAGTCTATTTTTTTTTTCTTCTCTTTACAATCGGTCGCACCAAATATAGCTTGTTTTCTCACGAAATCATTTCTATTTTTGCGACGAGCAGATCTGCTCGTCATCAACAATTTATACTCGAGCATCCAAGATTGACTTTTGCATGCTTGCAAAGTTTGCGAAGAGTCAAATAGCACACAAGATAGATTTTCAAATTTGCCATTTGTTCTTGTTATTATGGTCAGCGAAATATGCGCATAAAATCAACAAAAAAGAAAAGTTATATTACATGTAATCGCATTGTTGCGTGAAAATAATAATCATGGATATTAAATATTATAATGCTTGCATATTTCTGCGAAACAACGCAATATTATCTAGCACAATGAGAAGCAGTGCCTAAATATTTTTTCTTTTTAGTTATATAATCATTTCTTTTTCTTTTTAGTTGTATAATCATTTATTACAATGCATAAGTGAGAACAATTTTGAATATTCTTTTTATTCTATATACGTACGAAGAAAAAAAATATTTTGTAACATGTATTGCGTTATTCCACGTAGCATGATTAAGCTCACTGGAATGTGCTAATTATCTTTTCCTTGATGCGCTGTAGATGTCATTTAATATAATTTACTAACAATGTAATTAATATTTTTTTTAAATATATATGTTCAATATTATTATTATAAATAATTCGGCGTTAGCAGGAATGTCACTGATAACAATGTAATGCTAATCAGTCTTTCTTGAATATACGTTCAATATTAGCAAGAATGTGTTAATACATATAATGTCACTGATCTTTGCAGAGTTTAGTGGTACAACATGGTATCACCGGAGGCAAAACCCCTGCGGGGGTATCGAGAAACAAATCGGAACGAGAGAGAAAGATCGGGCATCGAAGAGTTGGAGTGGGTGGTGAAATTACATATAAGAAAGTAAGTAAAAAATGTGCCACTGTAGCATATTTCTAATAGATGGTTTCTTTAGATTAGGTTTTCGCGTTGTAATCAAAGTTAAAGGGTATCATTAAGCGACAGAGCTAAGAAACTTATACTACACCGTTTGCACTATTATGTCTAGCAGCGAGCGATTTTTTTTATCGTTGATAAACATCATACTTGTAAAAAAGAAAAATATGCCACTTTATCTAGCTATCGATAAGAGAGATTTATTATTTGCATTTACTGATCAGACAAACCTACTACACCAGAAATCAAACTTTCTCTATTAAATGATTTGAGATATTACTGCGTTATTGTCATTACTACGTTGCAAATATAATAGTTTTATGGACTTAAGAGTAATAATATAGCTGTAATATATATTATGTATATCATTAATTTTTAATACATTTTATTTATTTTATATAGATTCAAACTACGCAAATTATGGGATCCATTCAGTTGGGAATACAGCATGCTGTCGGTGGTCTTGCAAGTAAACCGGAACGCGATCTATTAATGCAGGACTTTATGACAGTGGAGACAACGAACTTTCCCAGTGAAGGGTCAAATCATACTCCAGCCCATCATTTTTCGGAGTTTAAATTTAAAAATTATGCACCCATTGCATTTCGTTACTTTAGAGATCTCTTTGGCATACAACCGGATGATTTTTTGGTGAGATAAATTTTTGCACTGCAATAAAATATAATGAAGTGTTAATTATACATATACTAATAAATATATGCATTTTAGATGTCAATGTGTAGCGCTCCGTTGCGTGAATTATCAAATCCTGGCGCTAGTGGGAGTATCTTTTATCTAACGGATGATGATGAATTTATCATAAAGACTGTGCAGCATAAAGAGGGAGAGTTTTTTACAAACTCTACTTCCAGGATATTATATGGTATGTTTCGAAAAATTAAAATACAATATTATTTTTAATATAAAAACTTATTGACAACCACTGTTGTTTCTTGTAGAATCTAAATCAGAATCCGAGGACACTATTGCCAAAATTTTTGGGTTGTATTGCTATCGATGTAATAGTAAGAATGTTAGATTAATAGCTATGAATAATCTTTTACCTTCGTTTGTAAAATTGCATCAGAAATATGATTTAAAAGGATCTACATATAAGAGAAAGGTTTGTAATATTACACAAATATATTTATGTGTGTGAATATTGTAATATGTATAATTTTAAGTGATTTTATATATGTATATATACACACCACAGATATATATATATATATATATATATATATATATATATATATATATATATATATATATATATATATATATATATATTGTATTAAATTGTAGGCATCGAAAGGAGAACGTTCAAAGTCTTCACCGACGTATAAAGATTTAGATTTCATAGAGCATCATCCAGAAGGCATCTTTTTAGAGGCCGATACGTATGGTGCGTTAGTAAAAACTATTCAACGGGATTGTCGTGTATTAGAAAGTTTCAAAATTATGGATTATTCTTTACTTGTTGGAATCCATAATCTTGACCAGGCTGCAAAGGAAAAAGCTGTAAATATTATGTCTTGTTCATATCACAAATATATCGCGCAATAAATATTTATCTGTATATATTACATTTATATTATAGCAAGAGCAAAGATTGTCAGCAAGCGCGGATGAAGAAGTTGGAGAAATGGGTGAAACTGATGGATTTATTCAATCTGAAAGGGAAAAGGATAGAGAAGATAGAATAGGCGCTGCCGCTTTGAATCGATCGCGCAGTATAAATCGTCAAAGATTGGTTGCTCATAGTACGGCAATGGAAAGTATTCAAGCTGAGAGTGAACCGATAGATGAAGAAGATGATGTACCGTAAATATCGTATTTGTACGACTTTATGAATGTATCGAGAAATGTTATTTGATTATAATAAATTTTATTTATGTTCCCAACAGCTCAGGCGGTATTCCTGCCAGAAACGCACGCGGTGAACGTCTTCTGTTATTTCTTGGTATTATCGATATTTTGCAGAGCTATAGATTGAAAAAGAAATTAGAACATACGTGGAAATCGATGATACATGATGGGGTAAGTCACACGTATAATGTGTATACGTATATTTTCTCTCATCTAATCTAATTTTCTCTCACAATTCAGTTTTCTTTTACTTTATCCCAACATCATACTGATATTTATATAGAAAGAACATTTCTTACTTTCTCGCAGGATACTGTGTCGGTACATCGACCAGGATTTTACGCGCAACGCTTTCAGGATTTCATGGCCAAGACAGTATTTAAGAAAATACCATCACGTAAGTACCATCCGAATCAACCTGTCCTAACAAGTTTGACTACAAGATTACATTCAGCAAATTCTCTAATATGTGAGAAAATTTACGCTTACTTATCTATTTACTGGTAGCCACAAATCGATCATGTTAATTCGTCGCGTTATATATACGTTATATACAAGTTGTATAATTGAATCGACTTTGCTTACTGAAAGTATAAGACAAAAAATCATATTAATGGTATCAGTATTGTGATTCAATCGTATTGCAATGCTATCAAATTGTACCTTTAATTAATGCTTTTGAGACATATTTTAAATATTTAATGCAAGAGAAACGGAAGTAGAACAAAGATAGTTTATTATAAGTGAAGCTCAAAACTGGTACTTAGAATATATACATAGTATGTTATCATTATATAAATAGTAAGGTACTTATATTGTTATTTAAGAACATATTCCAGTTTTCATACAGCAGTAGCCGTAAGCTAGAGACACATATTTTTCTTCTCGTTACAATTGACTAAAAAACTCGTCCATTTATAATTCAGTTATACAATTTTTTGGCGGGCGCGTAACAAACTCGCGTTACTGTCGGAATAGCGGAGGAGAATCTAACAAAATATTAGGCTTCCACGAATATCTTAGTCGTAGTTATTATCAGGGCTAACACAAGCGATTCTGGTTTTAATAAACACTCTACCTAATTATTTATATTTTAAGACTGTTGAAAGCGCAGGTGTCAGCGACTCAATTTCGACTGTACAGATTTTATCACAGACAGATTTAGCCGTCCAGAAAAATATTTTTACGATTATAACAGCGTTATAAAATATTTGAGTGACTGCAGAGAATGCGACAAATACTATGCGGATATCCGAAAATTATCTAGACGCGTTTTTGCCTCAATATCATGGTTATATTTAAATTTTATTGATCTGCCCAGTGCCTTGCGTAGATTAATGAAGTATCGTGCGAATCAAAACTGTTTGTTGTAAAATAAGAGATGACGCACTTTATCTATTCAACGAATGCGATATTTATCAGTATCATATATAATCCGATCCAGAAGAGAATTTTTCGGATACCTGCATTTGTTTAGAATCCATGTGAATAGGATATATATTTTGGGTTTAACGAGTGTCAATTGATCATTTTTGGGTTTTGTTTTGGTGTAACTAATTGCTAACACAATACACACGTATGTATATTTTGTTTATATATATTTTTCTTTTTTTTTTTAATAACTTTGTTTTTTTGCAACTTTAACCTCATTGTGCATTTCATATTTTCCTTTGACGCACAATTTTATTTAATATATTATGAAAAAAAAACAAAACAAATTATCGATCACTGGTGTCCACAGGTATAGCTGAGTATTTTTTATGTAGAAATATATATCGATACTGTTAATCTATCTTGTGACTTCCTTCGGCATATTTTTACTTATACATATATTAGACTGCTTTACACTTATATTTATAACTGCGAGCCATGTTTGAAAAGATCGATCGTCTTAAACAAGATTTTCATAAAATGTTGCATAAACAAAAGCTGGCAATTGAAAAATCTTTTTCTTTGCCAATAACTTCTTGATCTAGTCCATAACATTATTAAATGTGTATTTATTAGTGATACGAAGAATCGAGTAATCTAATTTTTATATATTTTTTTATTAATATCATGTGCCAAATTTTATGAAAGTTCCTTCTTTAATATACAAAATAAATAAATCTTAGTGACAAAAGTTTCTATCCTGTCGATGCGCCAAAACAATCATTGATCTTTTCGTTCATCAAAGCATTAATAAAAAGAATATAATATAAATAGAACGCACGAAATACATTCACAATATCATTCAAAAAATAAATAATCAATCAATTATTTAATCAATCAATCAACTTCTAAAAAAATAAATTAAAGAAATGCCAAATATAATTCTCTCTATAAAGGCTTATTTTTTAAAGGCTTTTTATTGAGGGATAGAGCTAATCGATTTTGTGCGATCTATATATTTTGTAGAAAAAAATCTCTGCGAAATAACAATGTTGAACGCGTATATATTTTTGGCAACAGTAGCAAATGTTAGGAGAGAGGCGAGAGGTGTGAGAGCGAGAATAATCGGTAGAAGTAGAAGATTGTTTTTTTTTAATAGCGAAAATATTCAGCTATCGACTGAACGTGGGCACCATTGTACATATTTATATATTTGCAATAAACATTTTCGCTGTTTACAACTTCATTTCATTTATAAGATACAT